ATTACTGCAACAAGGAAGGCATATAGGTGGTTCTTCGGACCCGAATTGTTTGGTTTGTAGTTAGGTTTTTAGGCAACTCTCTTAAGATAAATTGTCAGTAGTTCACCCACGCAGTTATCGCCCCGGATATTGGTTTTCTACCCTCCAACTTTGCTGAAAAAAATAATTCCGCCACGAGAATGTAGTGAGTAGATCTTCCTCAGCCCAGGCTGTTTGAGATGCATGGTCCAAATGGAGCATTTCACGAGGTGTAAGGGAAGGGTGACCAACCACAATCCAAGACGTCTACCCCCGAATTATACAGATACTTTCGGAGGCACTTGATGAAAAAATCAGTACTTACATAAACATATCTCAAGTTATGGTGATATTCACGTGCGCCACTGGATAAAACATTTCAGTGTCCGTTTTTTTTCTTTTCCTCACACGCAGTGAACACATTGGGAATGAGCAAAACACAGTCACCAAGCAATACACGAACACGTGGCACGAAAACGAAACTGCGTTCGTCCGAGAACAAATTGACCTGGTACGAAGAACGTCAACGCCGACGACTTGCCCAACTCATTCGTCACGAGTATCAGGTGGAACGATTGCGTGATTTGCGTGCCAGTGAAGCGGCTGATCGACGTATTCGTGAGGAGGAACGGGATCGTCGCCATCAACTGGTTCGGGCCCGAAATTACTATCGCCAGTTTGTGCACGAATTCAGAGCACGCAAGATGGCTAAAATGACCGAGGAAGAGACCGTGCGTATTGTTCATTTAAAGTATCATAGTAATGTTATTACCATAATATTAAATCACTTGCATGAAATGGGTCGGGTGCAGTCATGTACATACGGAAAAAAACAGTTACAAATGCGGTTTATCAAGCTAGGGGACAAAGCTTCTCATCCTGAGCCTTCAGCGGAGTGATTTAAGCAACAAGGTGTGTGTGTGTGATTTGGTGCCTGTATTTCGCTACCCATTGTTGAACGAAGTCCCACTCGTCGTCGGATCAATCACCCTTCGAAAAGGGCTTGCACTTCCAGGGTGAAAAATACCCCAAACCAGTCGATTACCTGAATAACTGTATGAGGAATAGTTCATACACTTCCTCATTTATGGTTTGAAATCGGGGTTTTTTATTTTCCCCAGACAAGGTATCTGTGGCTGGTTCATGAAGCTAGTTTAAGCTCTTCATATTCGTATTTCGCCCTCTCAATTCAGTTGAAACACTTCTGTCATAAGAAAGCAGCTAATCGCATTTATCCAGCACAGACTGTGAACACATCATTAGAGGTGAGGAGGCATTTGAACTAGTGAAGTCCGAGACAATAAAAATCCGTATACTGAAGCACTCAACTCCCACCGAGATACGCTCAGTTACCAAGGCCAGTCACAATCGGAATTTTGCTTATTGGAGGAATATGATAGTTCCCATGACTTCTAATCGTTCACCCGGTTTACTTTGGAGCTGTTCTAATTACCAAGGCTTAGTTTTGCTACATTTTAGGATTTTTCTTCATGTTTTTTCCAAGGTCATGCACTTAATAAGAAAGATCGATTAATAGAGTAACACTATCTGATATGCAGTGCGATTGCTTCATCGTTTCACGTTGTCTTGGCCGTACTTTTTCAACTGAAGAATAATTTTGCTAATTACATTGTTCAAGGCTCCTCATAACTACATATGTTACAAGATGTGGTACCTGCAAGTGGTGATCGATTGTGGGTAGATGATCGTGCAGAGATCTAAAGCGAACCGTTTATTCCCGAAAACCGAGAACGATCGATGAGCTAAAACAGAGTATCGTCGCGCAGTACGACATTATTCCGACCGCTACTATTCTGAAGATGGAACAAAGCTATCTTCGCCGTATTTTGCTATGCAAACAACAGGATGGAAAATACATTACATTCCGTGGTGAACTCGGGTGAAAACGTGCCGTAAGCTCGCACTCAGCTTCGGCTATGAGTACAAAGGGATTGTAATATTGAAATCAACTTCTCGGGCACACCTTTCAGAGAAGGGTAGCGTCAGAGTTTAGATCGGTCGACTGAGTCGAAAGCCGCTCTCAGATTCAGGTAGACAGAGATGGGGGATCTACGAGAAGAATGTCGTTACTCCAGAGTTTGATGAAGAGTGAAAATGTGGTCGATACAACCTTGACCAGGTCTAAAGCCGGCCTGATTCTCACGTGTGCACCGTTCATGTACAGCAGACAATGGACGGAGTATGATCCCGGCGAGAATTTCAGAGGCAATGTTGATTAACCTAATTCCTCTGTGGTTTTCACAAGAGAATTTGTCACCTTGTAAATCGGTATGATGACTGATTCACACCAGTCAGCTGTAACCTCTTCCCTCTCCCATACTGAACCCAGGAGTTTTGTCAACTCCGAGACTAAGGCTCAGCCTCCATCCTTAAAAGCCGATAGGGACAGTCCGCCAGGACCGGAGGTCTTATGCCTTTTTGGATGACTTATTTCCCAGGAAACCTCGATTTGAGACGGAGGATTGGCATCAATTGGGAGTATCTGCCTAGTCGAGGTGTGGGTTGACAGGTCAGCTGTCGATGGTGGCGAGTTGAACTGAGCTTTGAAATGTTCAGCCCAACGGTCAAGACGGCGTTGCTGATGGTCAATCAGTGTGCCATCGGAATCCTTAATTACCCCACCGAGGCTACTGAACTTTTTACAATCGACATACAAACTTCAAATCTGCCAAACAACTATTTGAACAATTCACCTTGTCTTAGAAGCTCATTCGGTGGAGTCCGGTGAATTCTAAGGAAAACCTGTCAGGCAGTCAGCTTCATTGCTAACTGGTGGATGCCACATGCCTCTGTAAGTTGGATGGGTAAATTCGAATGTGAAAAAACCAGTGCTATCGATGTGGCCTCGTAGCTCAGCTGGTAGAGCGCGTACAAAGCGTAGGCGGTGTCCATGCGTGGGTTCGAATCCCACCAAGGCTACTGAACTTTTCACAATCGACATACATACCTCACTTACGCCTATTNGCCTATTTTCCTTGGGTCCGTATTCCTAATTATACTGAAAAGATTGCGAATATTACCAATAGCCTTCTCCATCCCTCTACACTTTACTATTCACCACTTCTTGCGGTCATTCCTCAGACTCTTGATTAGCTGGAGCTTGAGGGATTTGCGCGCTGTCGTATGTGGCATCGGGAGGGAGGGTTCTGCGGGCGTCCAGCAAAGCATCTAAGGTCGACGATATCCATCGTTTGTGTTTTGAGCTTGCGCTAAGGTCCGACGTTGTTTTTATCGATATCTGCATAGCTTCCTTGATTTGCTCGCAGTGTTCATTGAATCCTTCGGCTGGTGGTTGAACTGACAGGCGATCGGACAGTTCCGCTTCGAAGGCTGATTTGCAGCAACTACTGACGTTGTATCGTGGGTATCCGTTGTCGGTAGCTTTTTTGCGGTTGTTTGCCAGGCTTAGGGAGAATTCGGATCGTAGCTAGGCGTGATCCGTATCCACAGGTGTGGAGCAGTATGAGCGGCAGTCTTAGGTCGACCCTCTCCAGCGGTAACTGATGGCGATTTGGTCGATCTGGGTCCAGTGCAATGAGGTGATTTGTGGTTTCCATGTAAGGCGGTGTCGTTTCTTATGCGAGAAGTTCGTGTTTGACAGGAAACATTAGTAGTCCGCACACAGTTGCTGTAGGCGATCTCCGTTGTCCGTCCGGTTGGCTGGGATTGCATACGGACCGCCAAGATGCCTTTCTTATTCGTCGAGGGATCCCACTTGACTATTGAAGTCTCCAGCGACTAACACAATGTCTGTTGATCGTTTATGTTGTGAAATACACCCAGTGACAGACGTTTCAAAATCCTTAGATTTTGGCAATATCTCCATTCCGGAGTATAATACAACAACCATTTGGGGTAATAGTGAAATGTCCAAAAGTGAAGTTTCTATTATTCAGTTTGTTAATCGAAAGTAATTATCAAATGGTGAATTTCGCCATGTGCAGAGCAAACGAAGCACTGTACACCTGTTTTTACCTGGTTGGGTCTCATCAGCGGGACCGATCCATTGGCCCAACTGAGGACCGCGAACCTGGGATCTCACAAGTATACTATCTTCTTGACCCACCGGCAGCTGGTTAGACTGTTTTGCGTTTTTTATATACACTATATTGCGCAAATCATCTCTGCGGGCTTGTTACGAGTATCACCTCCAGATCATCACTTGAGTAGTAGCCACCAGAGTTGTGATTCGGTTAGAAACATTTCGAATCTGACACCTTGTTCCATTAGAATAATGACGAATTTGATTCGATGACACGGGAAATTTCGTTGTGCATTGAGAACATAAAGCATGAAATAAAAAGCTCCTCTATCGCTTTAGTGTTGGAGGCGAAATGTAAAATAAAGCCCCGTATCGTGTTCCTCCTCTGGAGTTCAGCGTGAATAAAGCACAGTAGTATTGGGTCTACCTGTCATTCCGTTCAGGAACCTCAATCAAACCTTTTGGGCATACTTTCTGCGAAATGTGGGAATGTTTCCTTGTCGACAGACCAACCATTCCTGTTATAGGATAACCTCTAGTTCAGTCTCTGATTCATATATTATCGGATTGTAATATAATTTTCTAGTCGGAATGTCCCCTGTTGGGTTTAGATCTGAGATGCATACACAAACCGAGCCATCACTCTAGCACCGTTGCACAGTAAACATTCAGAATGCCTAAGTCGCTCGGATCGTGAGCCGAGAACACACTTCATCCTGATTCACCTTCTCTGAATATCTGAAAGCATCTACCAACCAGTCATTACAGCTGTTTCCCTTAGTTCGTCTGATTTGGCGCTGATTATCGAAATTTGACGACACTGTAACCGTTTGATCAAGTCAGAATTCAAATTCAAACACTTGCATTCCGCTCGCCTCGGCGTTTTGTCACGTGAATCGGCTTCACATTCAACTCACTTATCCACGCGTCTGGGACCAGATATAGCACTGCTTTGTGAATGTCCAAAAACTGTGTCAAG